CTGGCAGGTGACACCAGTCCTGGGGACTGGGTAGACACCCCGCTGTGGGACATTGCGACGTAGGGGCTGGCATTATATGGAGACCATAAAGGGCGTGTGAAAACCAAGTTGGCGTCGCAACACACCAGCATAGCGAGCGTCTACACAATGCAATGAGTTCATGACACCAAGATGCTGGAGGTGATCAAAGAGCTTCAGTCCAGAGTGGACTCTGGCCAGACGCTTGACACGCTTTCTTTCCAACAAGGCAGTCTCCAAAAGATGCCAAGCTCCCTTCCCTGCCATTATCTGAGAATAGGTTTCTGGGAGTCATAGAGCAAAACAAGCTGGGAACCAAAAACTGGAGTGAGGTAAGAAACAAAAGGGGAAAACGTAATCATTCCAAGACACAGATCCAAATTCCCTCTGGTATTCAGCTCATTGTTAAAGCTTTCAGAAAAACATCATTAAAAAGCATACCGTGAGATACACGCAGTCTAGTCTATTTGTTCCTTTAAAAATTAATCTCCTGGGAGACAAAAGGAAGGGACGTCATTCCTAACGATGCATTTTTCCCACTGACCCAAATTCCTCAGTCTGGATGGATCAAGGACCAGGAGGTGACTTCAGATCCGGCCCTCGTCCCATGTAGGAAGTGTCTTCCCTCGTTTCTCTCCGTTTCTCCCCCTTGGGTGGCTTTGCTGGGAAGGGGCTGGAAGCCGTCAACTGATACTGCAACCACTGAGCTTTGCTCAGAGGAGGGACCGGGCAGCAAAAGATGAGGCACCAACACCTGTTCAGCCATATCTTACCACCAACACCTGTTCAGCCATATCTTACCACCAAGACAAGTAATTTTTCATCTTGTGCCAGGGTCGGAAATGTTTTTCTGGGTATGGGTAGGCATCTGGAGTCCTGCTGACTTGCAGACCTCATCACACATCGTCAAGAGCCTTCCAGCCTTACTTGGTTCCATTCCCTGGTAGTCCAGGAGCCAAAAACAGGCTTGCAAGCTCTGGGAGGCAGTAGGTCATAAAAACTCCATGCAGTCAAAATCTAGTAGATGTTCTATCTTACTCCCCTACAAAATAACCTGCATCATTTTGTTACTCACTCAAAGTAAAGCCTGAGTTTCCCCTAACAGCTCAGTCTAACCCACTTGACATCCAGCATCAGCCAAGTCCACCCTGGAGAAGATCTGTCAAGATGTGAATAAAGGCAGATGCAAAGTCATGGCTTAAGGAGGTCGCTACGGAACGTGGAAGGAAGAGAAATGTGCGGCAGCTGAGGAGCAGCTCCTGCAGAGCCGACAGGCAGTCGGGTTTCCTCCGAAGGACAAGCGCTGCTGGAGAAGGCAGCTCGCAAGCGCGCCGACATAGTCCACCTGGCTTCGCTGCATTAGGGGACATACAAGCTCATTAAGCATTTAGCAAGCCCCGCTTGGTAACATACTGCTTCAATGCAAACACTTTGTTTAAAAAGCTTTGCTAACTTCTTCCCCCTCCCTTCCAATAGGCTCAGTAGCAAAACTGGCCACTGCCACTGAAATTAAACAGATCATTCAGACTCAAACTCTGCCTTGCGTGCGCTGCCCCAGCTCAGCACAAGCTGGGACATCTCCCGCTGTCAAGTTGACACGCGGCACACGTTCACAAAGGACATTGCTTCATCTGGCAGTGCAGAGACAAGAATATTTATCGGGGTTAATGGATTACCATTCATCAACCAAGCCATATTTACAGACCACACATGGTCTCTCTCCCTTCTGCAGGTGCAGCTTAGCTGGAGTTGGATGACCCACTGCAAAGCAACGTGGGCAATGTACTCCACAGGCCCCATCATACCAGGCTGATCACATGTGCCACCTCTGCCACAGTTAGGCCCAAGAGCCATGGGTCTAGAAGCTGATGCGACCCTGCTCCTCATGACCATCCACCTCATTTCTACGTCAAATTCAAATGTGCTACAGCTCCACTAGACTCAGGGTCGCCAGCGAGAGCATGTGCATCCAAGCTGGACAAATTTGTTTCCAGAAACTCCTAGTACCTTTTGCAATGCTGCTGGGCATCTATCCACTGAGTGATATTCCACCCATCATGGAGTTTTACAACTCAAATCTGTAACAAACTTCACTGTCTGTTTGTTTTGTTGAGAAAAAGTAACAACATTGCAAGTCAGCAGAAGGCCAGGTGTGACATAAGAGCTCTTTTCAGTGTCCTGTTCTTGCTGGTATTACAAGGGATGAAGGAAAAATGCGGAAGGCACAGCAGAAGGGTTAGCAGGATACATTCTTTAGTTACCATCACCGCTACATGGTCCCAAGACCAAGAATAACAAGGCAGAGACCAGAATGCAAAGCATGTCCATCAAGTCTCGGCCACAGCAGATTTCTAAAAATCAATTTGTGACTGTTTCCAGAGCCCAAGGCATTGGAACAGAAAAGGCTGGAAATGCACTGAGCCTTCTTTCCATCTTTCCTCATCTGAGCTCTCCCTTCTGCCTCTTCCAAGGATGCAGGGAATATTAAAGTGCAGAGAACATGAGAGAGATGACCTCAAGGTTCCCTCGCAGGCCTCGGCACTGCAGCCAGGGATCATGCTGCCACAAGAGCTGGTTGCTGAGCAAACTGCAGCGATTAAACCCTGGAGGCCTCCCCTCTGCTCCTCACTGCCGCTGAGCACTGCTCTGCCTCTCCTTGCCGCACCAGCCGTTTCAATCTCCTTTAACCGCTAAGTGAAGGATATCAGCTTATGTGAGAAAAAGGTCCCAATACTAGCAGCCCTGTGGCCATGTTAAGTAGAGACGGAGACAAATCCATGGTTTTGCTTGGCAAGAAGCAAGCGCGAAGTGTTTACATGAGGTTTGTGCATTGAGTATCTCCAAAATTCAGCCCAAGCCACATTTTGCATCATTTTATTCCAAAACCATAAAACTGAAGTCTTGTTAGGGCAAAATGGTGTTCAGGCCCATGTCTGAATTAAATTTTGTCTTTCCCCTCCACAGCAAGGCTCCGGGAGCATGCACCAAAAGACATGATGTAAATATGGGAGGAGTATTTGTCCTTTGACTCCTGCCTGGCCTTGAATAATCCAGAGCCAGTCCAGAAATGCAAATCCTTGTGAAATTTATCCAAAAGCAATAAAACAGCATGTGCTCTGCAGATGAAAACCACCATATGCCCAAGCTGAGTTTTTATTCTGAGCATTTCTCTTAGTGGGCCGGAAAGGTTTTCTTCTCTGCGTCTCCTGGTTTACAATTTTTGAGTGATGATTCACCTACCACATACTAAGGTTACCAAACAAATGGAACTTATGGTTGTAACAGTTTAAATTCAACACTGAACGGATATTTCTACCACATGGCCATGAGAACACATGGGCTCAGACACACCAACAGTTGCAAACATCCTTCCGTTATCCAGACCCACCAGGTCTTTGGATATCTTGCTATTGCAGTCTCTTATGATGTTTCTTCATCTAAGGGGTGTCTCCACTTTGGCAACGCAGCAACAGATTCCTGCGTGCCAGGTCTTCCCGTGGCCAGCCCCCGGTGACCATCCATATGAGTGGGAGCTCCTCAGGTTTGATGGCTCCACAGATGTTTGCGTAAAAATCTCTAGTGCTTAACACAACTCTTGCCTAAATGGAACAGCAGACGCTCTTTAGTATGGAAGAAAATAACAAGTTCTGGAGGCTCAGCATGACCATATCACCCCTGACATCTGCACTTGTGCGCTTGTGCTGTTCCCTCCAGCAAGAATCCCTGGGCATCAAAACAAGCTCAGTGGACTGTTTGGTCAACGCAAACCGCCCAGGGGTTTCTCTTGCAAGTGCTGTACTCATCGTAAAGATAACAACGGACACAGCTCTTCTTGTGGTCTTGTCAGAGGAAAGAGAAAATTGATTAAAAGCAGGTTCTGCAAAGCCATTTACTGTGCTGTCAAACATCTCCCGCTACACCTCACCGAGCCTTATCCAGCAAATTTATGAAAAACAGAAAAGTTCCACTTTAATTGGTGAAAATTCCCTCCTCCTACATGCGGAGCTCCAATCTGCAATTAGCCTTTCATGTCAAACGATGTTTATTCCTGATAGAGTTTATCTTGGCACAAACACTCGCTCTGAAATGTGCACACATTTGAAGGCTCAAGCCCTGCGTTTAATTCTTTAGCTGCTTGTTAATCCACATTGTTCCCAAGCCCCTTTTCAAAACACACCCACAGCGAGAATAAAGATTTAAAAAAACAGAAAAAAAGATCCTCCCGAGTCAGGAAGGGCAGTGGCGAGGGCTGAGCATTGCTGGCCCTGTCCTGCAGACCCCGTCCCACTCGTACCGCCCGCCTTCGAGGGCAGCTCACAGGAACGCGCTTGCCAGTGCCATTAGCCTCCTTGCTGCCAAAAAGCAGGCGCTTAATCCCAGTTCTTTCCATTTTGCACTTCTTTTCTAATATTTTTTCTGGCTCCTAAGATCTCTCCCTGTGCCATTCAGTTCACCACCCCAGTGCAAACAAGCCCCCCTTATTCTTTCTGCTGGATTTTGATGGGTTGGTGAGATGAATTAGCTCGTGAAGGGGTCTGATGAGTACCTAAACTATCCCAAAGCAAGTAGCAGGGTGGGGAGGACCACAGATCTTCCCACCCCACTTACCCTGAGCAAAGGAGGCAAAAGTGGAATTGCAGCCAAAGACTCTTGATTGCTGCCTTAATGTTTAGCATTTTATATGTGTCTGAATTCCCATCACCCTCCCTAGCATGCAGGGAGGTGGCATGAGCATGTCACCTGTGTAAGCAAACGGTTTTTCCCCATGGCAAACCCCACGAGACAAATCCTGAGCAACCTGCTCTCAGCTGGTCCTACTTTAAGCAAAGGACTGAACCAACAGCCTCCAGAGCTCCTTCCAACCTACACCATCCTGCATTGCAGTGCCTTCCCCACCAAGCAGTCCCAGGCACCTTCACCAACCGTTGTCCAGTAAATTAAGAAAGAGCAGGAGCAGAAGGGCCTTAAGAAAGTCCATAGACCAAGTGAGGTCACGTGCTGCTCCAAATTCTCAAGCTCAGTACTTTGGGTGATCACTTTTCTACCAAGAGAGGAGTAGATAACATAGCTCCCTTATGAAATGAAAGGCAAAGCAAAGCTTCTTCACCATGCTCAGTGCATACCTCAGCCATACCTGCCTTGCTGCCTGTAACTCACTGGAAGTGACCTGGACGTTTTTGCCTTATGGAGAGATGAGCACATGTTGATCAGTGAATGGCCATGGCTTCTGAACAAAATGCCTCCCTGTGCAATCACTTGCAGTTTGCAAAGTCCGTTAAGAAAGCTCAAGTTTCCTTTCCCTTCTGCCCTTTTGCTGCCCCCCCTCAACGTTTCCAGCTCCTCCTTTTTGGGAGTAAACGGTGAGCCCAGATTTCCCTGGCCCTTTCGCACGGGCCCTGCATTCCTCACGAGCTCAGTGCCACCCAACCGAGCGCACTGCTCAAAGCAAGGCCAGACCTTGCGATGCCTGGCATGGTCCAGCTCGCCGCCTGGGCTAGCGTGCTGCCTCAGCAGGATGCACATTTCGGAGAAACGGCTCATGCAGCTGCAGTGGGACAGGTCCCAGAGCTGACCATGCTTCGGTAATTATTAACTGCACTGGCCTGACCCCGTTACTCCCAACGGTCCGAGTCAGCAGTGTCCCCAGACATAGGCTGCTGCTTGTTTGAAATGTCAAGCCTGTAGAAAAGCCATGACCTGAGCAAACTTCACCGCGCTTTGCCTATGATTAACCTTTCTTCCCAGCGCCAGCGAAACAGCTCAGCAGTTACACCCAGCCGCTTCCCACACAGTCTGGCCTACCTGCATGTGCAAGGACTGTCACTCCTGGAGAAGCGTGGCCCTCCTGCCACCCACGACAGTGCTGTGGTGACACTCCTCATGCGTCATCTCGTCCAAATTGCCACCGTGGCCAGCTGTGGAAGGTGGCAGACTAGTGTCTCTAGTTGCTGCAGCAAATCCTTGCACCACTGACACAACTGGGAAGAATGGGAGCAACTGGTTTGGAGGGTGAGGTTTAGGAATTTGTTCCATTGCTTTACCTCCCATGTGGAAATCATCTTTCCGGCATGGTCATTCATCCAAACCCTTGAATGCTTTCAGGCTGCCTGTGTAATCATGCTTTGTCCTAAAACATGCAATGTTTCCTTTGCACAACATCTTAGGCCACAGAAGACAGTATAGAGCTGAGAAAGGTTGGAAAACCATTGGAAAAAATCCCATGGGTAAAAGGCATCAAACCAGGCACCTCTGGAATTGCTGCAATAAGCAAAACCGACCCATTTGCAAACAGGGCAAGGCTGATGCAACGCGGCAGGATGGAGGCAGGCGCCAGCCCGGCTCGGCCAGGACACCCAACCAACCCCAGGCCGGCGCCAGCCGGGCCCGGCCCAGGACCAAGACCGGAAAGCCGGGTTACGATCCCAACTCCAGCCACTGATTCCCAGCAACGTCTTGGGCAAGCGGCCTCACTGACACTCATCTTGTGGAGCCTGTAATGCAGGGCTGAGATGAGCATTGCCCCTTTTGGGGGGCACCTGAGCCCCTCGAGGAGAGGACAATACCAGCGCCTCGGTTCTGGGAGCCCCTCAACACGTCCGCGGGAGCCCGTGTGCTGCACAGCAGATGTGGGAAGCTCACCTGTGCTCCAGCTCACTGCCAGCAAACCCACGCAAATCAGTTTTATAGCATTTCCCTGGAAAACAGCAGCTTTGCTTTCTTTGTGATACCCTGCCAGAAAGCAGAGGTCATGGCTTCCTTCCAGAACACATCAGAGAAAATGGCAAAGCAAGCTGCATCTCCCAGGTCCTGGCTGAGCCAGGGCAATGAGAAATGGGCCTTGTTATGTTAAGGTCAGTGGTTCATCTCTCGGCCAGGTGCAGCATATGCTGAAGACACTGTACAACTCTACGAGCAACTATTCCTAGTGCAAAGCCCAGCATCGTAACCTTCATCGCATCTACATCTGTCAGCTGGCGAAACTACAGCCAAGCCCCCTGCTACAGCACGGCTGCAGAACCTCAAAAATCTCCAACATCACTGCAGCAGTGAAGCAGAGGGGAAGGCATTGGGGGAGATACAGCCCTGCCGCAGCTTGGGCAGAAATTGGGAATGTGGCTGCCCACCATCTAACCGCATTTCCTGGCCACTGCCGCTGGGGCGCATGGTGGGGTCTCCCTTGGGGACTGCAGATGGTGGCCCCAGACTGCTCCATCCCTTGGGGAATGAGCAGACCCTTTCTAACTCCCCTTTGCCCACCAGGAAACCCAGCCTTGTACTGCCTTTGAGAATGCACGGAGTAGGCTGCTTGGAGGATGGAATGGAAAAGGATGCCTCTTTTCTTTTCTGTCCCAAATTCAAAGAGGCAGCAAGGTTTCCCTCCTTGCCAGACCTCTCCCAAGCAATTTTCTGTTTTCTATTAAGGGAAAGAAGAAACCCTTCAGCTCAATTCCACATTCTTTCCCACTACAACTCCCATAGACTCTGGGAACATTACACAAAAAAAGGAGTATTAAAAATCATCCAACCTGCTTGTCCATGATATAGTGAAATACATACTGTCAGGGAGAGAAAAACAGAGCAGGAGATGAGAGGGCCAGGGAAGGGAAAACAACACCCCCCAGTTTGCTCTTAAATCTTCTGCACAAGAAGTTTTTGACCCAAGTCGCTGGCACGAGAGGGATTTATCCCAGCTGAATTCATTCCATTTGCCAGCTAATAATTAGCTGTTAAATACAGCAAAATAATAACAAAAAATCTTTTTCTTTTTCTTTTTCTTTTTCTTTTCCTTTTCCTTTTCCTTTTCCTTTTCCTTTTCCTTTTCCTTTTCTTTTTTCTTTTTCCCAAAGGGAAAACAAAGATGCTGGGGAGAATAAATGGAGGTGAAATCCTGCATTGCTCACAGATGCATGAAGATCTTTATTCCCCTTCTGGCAGGGCACTTGACAACCTTCCCTTTCAGTTAATTAAGGGATATTTGGAAAGAGGAACACTTCCAGCCCCTTGCCAGCCCTGCCCATTGCCTAAGAGGCCCACAGTGTACTTGAGAATAAAAGCAGGAGGCCCTCAAGAGTCAACTCAGCTCCTCCTTCTGTCCCTGGGCAGAAGTGGACAGCCCAGACCCAAAAAGCACCATTTTTCAGACTTATAGGTGCCATTGCAGCACCTTTATGTCCTGTCCCACCCTGGATCGCACTAAGTCATCCCTGGCAGCCCTTTGTCCTGCCTTTTCTTAGATGCTTCTGGTGGCGGCGGTTTCAAGCCTTCCCTAGACAACCTTTGACAACATCCAGCTACCCATGCAGGAAGAAATCTCCTGCCCTGATGCCTAACCAAAATATTCCTCGTTGCATAATTTAAATGCATCACTTCTAACCTGCCTCTCACTGGGCAAGCCCAATACTTTTTGTCTTTTCAGCAACATTTACAGAGCTGAAGGCAGTTAGGAATCCCCTTCCAACCTCCCTTCTCTGGCAGGAACACCCCAAGTTCATTCTGCCTTGCCTCCCTGGCCATGATTTCTGGGTAGCTGATCATTTTTCTTTCCTCAATTCCTTCCAGTTGGCCCATGTCTTTCTCCGTGGGTGGTGCTCAATGGAGACACGTCTTTCTCCATGGGTGGTGCTCAATGGAGACACAACAGCCTGCTCCTCAGGACCAGTCCTGTAGCAATAGGCTTCTCATGTCCTGCATGTGCCTCCGTTGCACTTCCCTGCGGATGGTTCATTTTTTTTCACTGCAGTGCAACATTATTGACACATTGATCAGCTGCTGCTCTCCCATGCACCCAGCTCCCCTCCGGAGGACCCTTTAATAATTAATCGTCCCTTACCTCATTTCGTTGACAGTCTCCACACAAGTGCAATACTTTGCCTGCTTCTTGTCAAATCACATCCCATTAGCGATATGATCACATCCTATTTGTAACTGAGCCATGTCTGAGAGTTGCCAAGATCATTTTCGACTCACATCCTGTCTCCCAACGTGCTTACAGCCCCTCTCCATACAATTCAGCCAAGTCGTTAATAAAAATGCCTAGCGTAGAAATGCTGCTCTGGAAAGTTTTCCCTGTACTCCTCCTTAAAACCTACAGCAGAGAGCATATGCCCCCCTCAAACAATTAATTCTGAGACCTTCCCCAAGTCCCAGACACTGTAGCCAAGGCTTTGTAGATGACTTGGATATCTAGACTGCACTATTGCACTTCCACTGATTAGAAACTCAAATACCCAGAGGGCACGAAAGCTGAGATATCGTGACATAAAGTAGGACTTTCAAACACAGGAGAGACACTGGATTCAGATCCAGACTCCAGACCTCAAGTGCTATCCATGCAGCGTCCCACCGCAGCCAATCCTCCCTGGTGGACTTCAAACTCGTCTCCATAAGCTGAAATACCTGCTGGTCTGCCAGCACTGCATGGAGAACTCAGAGCAGGAGCATGTGGGAGGGCAACATCCCTCCACCCTGAGCAGTATCTCGCTTCCCGCAGCTTCCCAAGTGTGCTCAGGGTAGACATGTGGCATGGAACAGTCCCCTGGGCCGGCGACAGCACTTGACAGAAGATGGGACTGAGTCATACACGGAAATTTGCCCTCTTTAAGATAATGAAACTTATTCAGGGATATATTTACATTTGCATCAACTGGATTGTTTTTTTATTTCTCTAATCAAGAGCACAGATTTCTCCTGTATGGACATCTCATTCCTGAAATCCACAGCCAAGCCCTACACTAGGGCTTGGAGGCCACAGAATGCCTGTCTGCTTTGGCTTTCCAGGCTCCACCACCGTGACATTCAGCATCCTCAATTTCCTCTTTTCGCACAGTAGTCTCCAAAGAAACCTCACGTTGGCAGTGCCAGGAGCAAATTGGTTTATTTTGGGCCACTTTTCAATAAAAAGCCTGTATAGGCACTTCAGAAAAAAATGCAGCCAGAAAACTCCCAGTTAATGAGTTGCAGCTGCAATGACCCCAAACCACCATCGCCCTGGCTCCGTGGTTGGCTGTTACTCTGCACAAGCAGGACGGCAGCCACCTGGCT